CGTGGCCCCGCAGACGTGAGACACGAAGGGCCTGGGAACACTAAGCCGTGTTGGCTCGACCCCGGCCGCTCACCCGCCCAGGCCGAGGGAGCGAATCTGTTTTCCTGTCCCCGCGGCAACGCGCGTGTCCCGTCTAGTAACGTCCGACTCTGTGCGCACCGGGAAGCCAGCCCCAGTGAGACGGGCGGCCGTGTTGGGTCACGTTTCTCGGAAACGACAGTCGGATCCTGGCTACACGTTGGCGCCGGCTCGGGGCTCCTGAGGGGGCATCCACGGAGCTCTGGCATGTCAGATGGGGCCCGAGCCTCAGAGGAAGGAGGGCGCGGGGTCGGAGGCTGCTGGGGGGCGGGTGGTCACGGGACTAGAGAGAGCAGTGGGCGGGGCAGCCCGGGGGCTGGGGAACCGGGCCATAATGATCCGAAACGTGAGCTGAGAGAGGGTTCCTGTTGCTCGGTGCTGCCCTGTCATGTGCACATCCAGCGTGTTTTCACATGTAGGGGGCCAAGACCTCACCCAGGTTACAGACGTAACACACAACGTTCCTCACCCCCTGGCCAGCGTGGCTCCGTGGTTGAGCATTGAACTATGAGCCAGGAGGTCACGGTAGATTCCGGGTCAGGGCACAGGCCCGGGTTGCGGGCTCGATCCCCAGTGTGGGGCGTGCAGGAGGCAGCCGGTGCAAGATTCTCTCTCATCATGGACGTTTCTATCTCTTTCTCCCTCTCCCTTCCTCTCTGACATCATTAAAAATATGAAAAAAAAACCACCTATCCCCGCCCAGAGCTCCACAGCTTCCACAGGGCAGTTTCTACAGGGAGGGCAGAGCTCCATCCTGGGTCTGATGAGACCGGAGGCTCGGCCCACGGTGAGCCAAAGCCCTGGGGGCCTCCAGGAGGCGGCGGGCGCCCAGGTGCAGCGCGATCAGAGCCATCAGCTCGTCAGCAGCCCGGCAGGATCCCGCGTGTGTCCTGTGCAGGTGTCTGTTTCGATTTGATTTTTCTTTCAGGACAGAGAGTGGAGTCGGGGAGGACTTATTCTGGGATTAACTTAAAAAGCGAAATGAGTGCTGGCCCCCATGGGTCGCCTTCGCACAGCCCGCGACACCCCTTCCCTTCGCCCGTGGCCGGGCCCCTGCCGAGAGGCCCCAGCGAGCCCTGCCCGTTACCGTGGCCGCCGTCCTCGTCCTCCTGCCTCAGGGAAGGGTCCTGGTCAGCGAGGGCGGGGTCCACCGCTGTGAGAATGCTCCTGGGCACTGAGAGCCAGAAAGAGAGACGAGATTAAACACTCAGTTCCCGCCGGGGTGTGGGTCACAGGGCGTCAGGGGCACTCACGCCGGTGACCGCCCGACCCCAGAACGGCCGTCCTGGGCAGACTGTGCAGCGTTCACCACGACAGCCGGAGAGGAAGTCCACAGAGCCTGGTGCCTCTCTCACTGCAGGACAACCCGACACCACGGGGACGGACCTCAGAACGTGACAGGCGGACACCACGGATCCCACGGATCCCGTCACACGGAGCTGCCAGAAACGGCCACGCCACGGGGACAGCCCACGGGAGAGGCTGGTGCCCCGACCAGAGCCAGCACGGCGGCCGCTGGGGGAACCCGCTGCCTTAAGGGTTATGACTTCGGCCGCCCCCAGGCCGGCCCCCTGGTGTCCGCGGGTAAAACCAGACCCAGTGGGTCTCAGGGGTCTGGAGGGCACTGGACCTTGGATTTCTCCCTGAAGGAAGCTGTGTGTGGAGCTGGGTCGGCAGAGCCGTTAGGAAAGGAGCCTGGCCTGCCGGGGGCTCGGTGGTTGGAGCGTCGTTGGTGCACCAGGTCGCGGTCCGGGTCCTGGTCAGGACTCACACCAGGCTTCGGGCTCCACCCCTGGTCGGGGGTGCGGGGGGCAACTGATGGATATTTCTTCTTCTTCCTCTTCCTCCCCCCTCCCCCTCCTCCTCCTCCCCACTCCTCTTCCTCTTCTTCTTCCTCTTAAATCAATAAACATATTCCCAGGTGAGGATTAAAAAAAAAACAGTAAAGAAAAAAGAGAGAAGCGTCCGCAGGGTGAACTCGGGCCTAAGAATTCTGCGCGTAAAGACTCTACTCTGTCACCTGCTCCTCCCCCTCAGCGATTGCGAGGGCACCTGCAAACCCTGGCACCGCATTCCCTGCTGCCCACATCCCGGCCCCTCCGCCTGCCCGGCTGGGTCCTCGAGAGCTGCCCAGGCTGGGGCCCCATGAGTTCTGGGCTCCCAGGATGTGTGTGTGTGTGGGGGGGGGGCGCTGGCCATGCCCCCTGAGCTGGTGACTCCCGGGACCGCGGCTACAGGTCTGGTGAGAAGCCTTGAGGGGAGCTGGCCCAGGGCTCCGGCCTCCAGGCCTCGGCCGAGGAAAGCCTACGTGAGGGGCAGCAGAAGGCCAGCCACGCGCACTCCCCGAGGCTCACAGTGACGCTGAAACTGCCCAGCCTGGGACGGAGCAGCAGGTGGAAGGAAGGCTTCCAACAGGGAGGCTCTTCTTTTTAAAATGCAAATGGCGTGTCCCCTGAGGAAGTCCTTCCGTGGCCATGGCCGTGCCCTGCAGAGCCAGGCTCAACCCCACCCAGCCCCCACCAGCTCTCACCTCCCAGCCCTGCGTGTGCCGTGTGCCCTCCTCCTGCATCACTGCGCATCTCCCTTGCCTCAGACGCCACCTCCCCCGGGAAGCCCTCCAGGCCCTGAGTCCCCAGAACCCGGATCCCCTGCATCTGTTCTGTAGGCTGTGAGAACCACGGAAACCTCCCCACCTCCCACCCCAGCCCCTTTCGGCTTCAACCAGCTCCAACTGCTCACTAAGGGATTCGCCTGGACATTCTTCACTGACAGCCTCTGGGCTCCTCGCACCAACGTCCCCATCGGTGGGGAGGCCCCTTTAGACGAGGAAGGCATGTGCAGCCGCTGCGACCAGTTAGCGGTTTGGGCCCCAGGGAAGGGCCACGGGGGCTTGCTGACAGCACCAGGCCACCTGGGCTTTTAAAAAATATGTTTATATTTAATATTTTAGGGAGAGAGACAGAAACATCGACGAGGAGAGAGAACCATGGATCGGCTGCCTCCTGCGCGCCCCCCACACTGGGGATGGTGCCTGCAACCTGGGCCTGTGCCCTGACCGGGAATTGAACCGTGACCTCCTGGTTCCTAAGTTGGTGTTCAACCACTGAGCACCCTCCTGGGCTGGGCTCACCCTTTGCTTTTTAAAAATATATATATTTTATTTATTTTGGACCCTTCAGTCCGCAGGCCGACGCTCTATCCACTGAGCCCCACCGGCCAGGGCTCACCCTTTGCCTTTATGCTCCTTAGAAACAACAGTCCACGCGGCCGGCTCCAGGACCAGAACCCGCCTTTCCCCCGAGAAGACCGGCTGCTGCTTTCCTTTTAAGTCGTTTTGCAAAACCGCAGTCCTGCGAGCCGGGCCCTGCACGTGGTTCCTTGGACACCAGGACAACCGAGTCCTGTCGTATTTCACTGCTCGGGGCCGGCTTTGCCTTTATGCTCCTTAGAAACAACAGTCCACGCGGCCGGCTCCAGGACCAGAACCCGCCTTTCCCCCGAGAAGACCGGCTGCTGCTTTCCTTTTAAGTCGTTTTGCAAAACCGCAGTCCTGCGAGCCGGGCCCTGCACGTGGTTCCTTGGACACCAGGACAACCGAGTCCTGTCGTATTTCACTGCTCGGGGCCGGCACGGGGCCTGCTGACTCAGGCCGGGGGCTGTGGCTGGAACGGCGGCTGCAGCCCCGGGAACTCGTCATTTGGGGCCTGAAAGCACAGCCGGAGGGACAGCGATGCTCCCGTGGCCTCGCACGCCCCCCCCCCCCAAACGTCGGCGCCTCCTACGAGCCCAGATGGAGATCGCTGCTCTCGGTGACATCAGCTTCGCCCTGTTCGCTCCCTCCCCGCCCTCCCCCTGGGCTGCCGATCCGATTGCTAAAGAGCTTTAAGGCGGCTTTGGACCAAACTCGGCTGCTCATCTGGTGAGCGCGACATCGACAGCAATAAAGTCCGGGAAGGGACCCTGGGCCCTCTGGGGGTCGACAGTGTCAGGAGCAGAGCCGCTGGGCTGGTTGGCGGCAGCTGCATGGCCACCTCCTCCGGGCAGGCCGCCCGGGCTGAGGGGGTGATCTTACCGCAGGCGTAGGCGACGGTGAGGTACTTCCTGGCTCCGGGCAGACAGGGGCTCCCGAAGTCGTGGTCGTCGACGAGGACCCGGCATCTCTGCCGCCCGTAGCACCTCCGGGCCAGCACGTGGGACGCCGAGTAGGACAAGCAGTCTGCAGGGGAACGGCAGCGAGAGCGTTAGGTCACGTCCGGCACACGGCGCCACGGCCCCTGCTGTGTCCGGGGAACAAGAACACCGGCCGGGCTGTCTCATGTGGACAGTGGCTCTGATGACTCCTGGCTCAGGAAGGCACCCAGAGGGCCACGGACCACGGAGGAGCCGGCCCCCAGTGCGGGCCACGTACCACGGCGTGCCCCAGAGAGAGAGAGAAACATCGATGATGAGAGAGAATCATGGACCAGCCGCCTCCTGCACGCCCCCCACTGGGGATCAAGCCCACAACCCGGCCTGTGCCCCGACCGGGAATCGAACCCTGACCTCCTGGGTCCTAGGTCAACGCTCACCAAGCCACACGGGCGGGCCCACTGTAAAACGCTGTCTCCCACAAACAGTCCCTCAGTGTGGCCCAGGGTGTGTCAGCCCGATGGCCTGGGGCCGGCTCCTCCGTACGTGGCCCTCTGGGGCCTGGAGACCCTCTGGGGCCTGGAGACCCTCGGGGGCCCTCACTCTCACCAGGATGAGCCACTCGCTCCCACGGTGACCAGGGCGCAATACTGCCCGGCCGGCGTGGCTCAGTGATCAGTGACTCTCTCCCATCTCTGATGTTCCTGTCTCTCTCTCCTTCTCCCTTCCTCTCTGAAATCAATAAGGATGTATTTTAGAATATTTTTTAAAAAATAAAGCGGTCTTTCCCTCCCAGCCTGGTTCTGTGCCCTCTCTTCCTGGCCACTGACCTTCCCTGCCCCCACCCCCCCACATGTGATGGCGAGGTGGCCCTCCCCCCTGCACGTGAACACGAGGTGCCCTCCCCCCTGCACGTGAACACGAGGCGCCCCTCCCCCCTGCACGTGAACACGAGGTGCCCTCCCCCCTGCACGTGAACACGAGGCGCCCCTCCCCCCTGCACGTGAACACGAGGTGCCCTCCCCCCTGCACGTGAACACGAGGCGCCCCTCCCCCCTGCACGTGAACACGAGGTGCCCTCCCCCCTGCACGTGAACACGAGGCGCCCCTCCCCCCTGCACGTGAACACGAGGTGCCCTCCCCCCTGCACGTGAACACGAGGCGCCCCTCCCCCCTGCACGTGAACACGAGGTGCCCTCCCCCCTGCACGTGAACACGAGGCGCCCCTCCCCCCTGCACGTGAACACGAGGTGCCCTCCCCCCTGCACGTGAACACGAGGCGCCCCTCCCCCCTGCACGTGAACACGAGGTGCCCTCCCCCCTGCACGTGAACACGAGGCGCCCCTCCCCCCTGCACGTGAACACGAGGTGCCCTCCCCCCTGCACGTGAACACGAGGCGCCCCTCCCCCCTGCACGTGAACACGAGGTGCCCTCCCCCCTGCACGTGAACACGAGGCGCCCCTCCCCCCTGCACGTGAACACGAGGTGCCCTCCCCCCTGCACGTGAACACGAGGCGCCCCTCCCCCCTGCACGTGAACACGAGGTGCCCTCCCCCCTGCACGTGAACACGAGGCGCCCCTCCCCCCTGCACGTGAACACGAGGTGCCCTCCCCCCTGCACGTGAACACGAGGCGCCCCTCCCCCCTGCACGTGAACACGAGGTGCCCTCCCCCCTGCACGTGAACACGAGGCGCCCCTCCCCCCTGCACGTGAACACGAGGTGCCCTCCCCCCTGCACGTGAACACGAGGCGCCCCTCCCCCCTGCACGTGAACACGAGGTGCCCCTCCCCCCTGCATGTGAACACGAGGTGCCCTCCGTTTTGGTCTCCTGGCTGCTGCCTGACGCTGGCTCTGAGCGAGCGCCTTCGGAGCCTGCGTTTCCCTAGGTGACGGCGGCTGCTCTCCAGGCTGTGTTGGCAGCGGGAGCCCTGGCGCCTGGATCTTCGCCTGAGAAGCCGGGCCTGCCCGCACTCGGCCCTGGGATGCCCTTCGCTCCCCCTCTGAGGCCAGGGGCGGGTCTCCTTCTCTTATTAAGGAAACAGCCGAGTCCCAGGCATCCACCCAGGAGATGTAACTGCAGCCGGACGGAGTGTCCCAGGGGACGCCCAGCCAGGGACCTGCCTGGAGCCCTGGAGTTTTAAAGTGGGCCCGGCCGGGTGGCTCAGCGGTTGATGTCGACCTGTGAACCAGGAGGTCAGGGTTCAATTTCCGGTCGGGGCACAGGCCCAGGTAGTGGACTGGATCCCCGGCAGGGGACGTGCGGGAGGCAGCCGACCAATGATCCTCTCATGGCTAATGTTTCTATCTCCCTCTCCCTTCCTCTCTGAAATCAATAAAAATATATTTAAAAATAAAAAAGAAATCTTGCGCTGGCCAGTTCTCAGCGGTTAGAGCGTCGGCCTCTGCCGGGAAGGGTCACGGGTTTGACTCCCGGTCGGGGCACATGCCTAGGTCTGGGGTGTCATCCCCAGTGGGGGGCACGGGGGAGGCAGCCAATGGATGTGCCTCTGGCCTCCATGTTCCTCTCTTTCTCCCTCTCTCTCTCTCTCTCTTCCCTCCCTCCCTTCCATTCTCTCTCAGAATCAGTGGGAAATGCCCGCAGGTGAGGATTAACAAAACGAAAGGGAACAGAAAGCTCTTCCTCCACGGGGAGAAAAAACTGCGCTGCTTCCCCACCACCAGGCCCCACTGAGCCCCTGTGGCCGCTCAGCAGGAGGGGAAGCACCCGTGACCTTCCCGAGGCCTCCTGACCTTTCTGGGCCGGGAGAGGCCCCGCCCCCTCCTCCACGGGGGGCTGCGTCCTGTGGGAGCGGGGAGCGGAACACACACACGCACACGCGCACACACAGACACACACAGACACGTGAACACGCACGCACACAGACACGCACATACATGCATGTACAGGCATGCACACGCGTGCACACACAGAGAGACACATACACACACATACACACACGCACACATGCACACGCACACACAATGCAATACACACACAGATTGGATTAAAGAAGATA